CCCTAGCCCTAACCCTCTCCCCAACCCTAACCCTAACCCTAACCCTAACCCTCACCCTAACCCTAACCCTAACCCTAACCCTAACCCTAACCCTAACCCTTGACTGTGCTGTGCAGGCAGCTCCTCTCTCCCGTCTGTCACACGCGGTGTGCCCTGCACTTTCAGTGGGCCAAGGGTGAGATGCTGCTGTATTGACCATGAGCCTGGACCCTGTTGCAAGGGCTTTCTCTTACTGCTTCTCGCTCTGTCATCCGTATTCACCTCACCTTCCAGGGCACCCCCTTCAGGGTCCCCAGACCAGGAGTCAGCACTAATACCAGGAGTAGAAATGAACCCAGTGAAGCAGGCCCAAACGTTTCTGTGGCACAGTTTGTGGTTGAGTGTGCTCTTGTTCCCTCAGAAAATGGTTGAAGACATCTCCTGGATTTCTGGGCTGTGTGGACGGGGATCCTGCAAAGGGTTGCCTTCCCATGCCCATTAGTGGCAATTCGTGAGGCTCCTCTTGTGTTCTGGGCACTGTGCTGGATCAGCAGCGGGGAGCTGGTAAGAGAAGTTTCTAAACTTCCCTGTTTCTTCCTAGAAAATGACAGATACAGAAAGACCCACAGAGGCGGAATGGGTTGAGACTGAAGAAGGAGAATGCTCACTTGTTAAGCAAAGTTTATAAACCTTTGTGTTCCTTCCCCAGAAGATGGATGTGGGTGTGTGGATGGGTTTTTCTGTGACTGATGGGTCCCAAACGAGGCTTTGTCCTTAAGAAACCATTACCATTTGTCTCCTCAACAGGCCTTCCAGTGACCTTCAGAGATAGCAGCTGAATTATTAGTGCGGAGCCTGGGTCAGACAAGGGCTTACTGGTGGAGCACAGGTCTATAGCAAAGTGAAAATGATTCTGGCCGTCACTAAGCTCTTCCTTTTCACATATGCCTCGCTTGCTCAGGAGCCTTAGGGCATGAATTCTACTAAGGTGCTGATTTTTAGGGAACTAAGTTTTCTATATTTGTGCACCGAAAGTATTTTCTTTTAAAAGATTGGCCATATTGCATTTTCCCCAAAATGTTTTTATTCCTTGTTTTTAAGCTTATGAAGCCCTTTTCGTATATATGTTCATTGTAAGAACAAGAAATGAGGAAATACTTACAAACAATAAGAGCCTTTATCTGCTCCTCTCAGAGACATCTGGGGGCGGAGGGAGACTCGAAGGAGAGGGAAAGGGGAAGTAGAAAGGATCCATGAGAATACACTTACTACATATTGCAAACATAATAGTAATAACAAACTTGTAAAAACGTAAACGAGGTAAGCACTGCTAACACCCCATCGTCTAAGATTTGGTATTTGTCTTAGATACTTTTCTCATTGCTAAGACAAAGTATTCAACACCCAAAGTTACAGAAAGGTTTATTTAGCTCAGCGTTTGTAGACTTTTCAGTCCATAATTGGCTGACTTCTCAGAAGCAGAAAATAGCATCTTTTTCACCTTTTATCTTATCCAGGGTGCTTGGATTAGGGTGATGCCAACCAACCAGTGGACTGATTTAGTAATCACTTACTATTTTTGTGAGACAGGGTCTCCCTGTGCAGTTCAGACTGATCTTCAGCTTACTTTGTAGCCCGGGCTGGTCTCAAACTTGTAACAATCTTCCTGCCTCAGCCTCCCAAGTGCACCACCACGTCTGGCTAATTATATACTCTTACTCTCAGCATCACACACTCTAGACCAATCACCTCTGAGAAAGTCTCACTTGTGACCAGATAAGTAAGGCTTCTGGGGGAACATCTAGACACAAGTCCTAAGAGGATTTTAAATTTCATCTTACTGATGATTCTAGATCTTCTTTATTAGCTGTCCTCTACCACCACCTGGGAGTTTTTTGCCTTTCATAGGACTTTTGAGTATGGACATGCTAGGTGTGTCTGCTGTTTATTTATTAATTTGGCTTATTTTTATTTTCTCTATCTCTCTCTGTCTCTGTCTCTGTCTTTCTCTCTCTCCTGTGTGGAGGATCAAATCCAGGACCTTGCAAATGTTCTGCCACTGAGTTCCGTTCCCAGCTATTGGCTTTGTGTTTTGTTTTCTTGGCACCTGCCAGCACTTTCTGCTGCTATACATAAACCTGCCTTATAGTCCCTTTGCTCTGCACAGGCACCGTATCTTCTTTTTCTTATTTAGAGAAAACCGCAAAGCAGAAAAGGGTAGAAATAATACAGAATTTCAAAAAAAGAACAGTAAGAAAACACTAGTTGATAGATAACCACACTACTAAGTTTGTGTTAGTTCATCAAACAGAATGGTTTGTACTGTCATTGTTTGACTGTCCACTCTTTGCGCTTTGGTTTTGTGACTTGAGCACAATATGTTGATTCTAAGGAGCAAATCTTCACTCCATGTTGAATGATTCTCCAGCTAGGATGCTTCTTGCCGGCAGGCAACGAGTAAGTTCTGCCGGAGATTATCACTGTCTGTATTTTGATGGGGTGACATGTATTTCCCACTTTGGTTGCTATGGTCACTTACTGCACTGGAGGCCTTATACTTACTTGAATTTTCATGTACATTCAGACTCCTAAATTATTGCTTATGATCTGCTCTAAAAGATCACCCCATAATGAAGTAATAAAATTATTGTGAATACAGAAGATTGCCTGTCATATGCCTGGCAAGATGATTAAAGGCAGTAGAAATTGCCAAATCTCTCAGGCTAGATCAGGGAATTCTTAGAATTAAGGAAGGGAGAGGTGACCAACTTTTGTGTGGTGAAGAATATCAAGTTTTATTGAAAGGTTCAGACTGATTTTTGAGAAAAAGCATTTAATTTTCATTGAGAGACAATTTAATTAAAGAAACATGGAACCGCAAATAGCAAACAGCAAGTTTAGTAGAAAGCCCTTATCTCCCTTACCCTCTGATTTGCTTGAGATATATTCTGTCCACTAGAAAAATGCTGAGGGCTTCCAGGTCATAAGTTTGGAAAAGCAGAGCAAAATTCTGTGTGCACGCGGCAGAGCGGGCTCCGACTCACAAGGACCTTGAGAAGCTGAATCTGAAGAAGGCTTTGAGTTCAGTGCTGAACTCAAAGTGGTTTAGATACACCTGTGCTTTGTGCTAGTCAGGAAAAGGATTTTCTATGTTCTTTTTCAAAAAGAAAGAAATTCTAACACATCCTACAACGCGGATGGAGCTTGTGGGCGCTGTGCTAAGTGAAAGAAATCAGTCCCTAAAAAGGGCAAATACTGTCCTATTGAGCTTATGTGAGGTAGCCAGGAGCTGTAAGGTCACAGAGACAGACAGGTTACTGGGGTGGGGAGGGGAAATACAGAGTTACGTGGGTATAAAACTTCAGTTTTGCAAACATGGAAAAGTTCTGGAGATTGGGCGCTTGACATTGTGAATATACCTCGTACTATGTAAACTATAGTTAAATGTACACAAAGTGATATTAAGTACAATTATGATATTGTACAACTGTTACCATCATCCATCTCCAGAAATCTTTTCATCTTATAAAACTGAAGTCCTTTACCTGTTAACCCATAACTTTATGTACTGCTCCTGTAACCTCTGAAAAACACTGCTTTGCTTTCTGCCTTTATGAGTTGGACCACGTAAGGTACCGCACCACCATCACAATATTGGGAGAATCATCTAGTACTTGTCTTTTTGTGACTGGGTTTTTTCACTTAGTAGAATCTTTTCAGGCTCACCCATGTGTCAGCAAGTATCAAGATTTCTTTTCTTTTTAAGGCCAAATGATGTCCATTTTTCTGTCCCTTCATCTGTGGACTGATACTTGAGTTGCTTCTAAATTTTAGCTCTTGGGAATAGTGCTGCTGAGTGCACATGTGTGCACATCTCTCTCTGAAGCCCTGCTTTCATTTCTTTAAGATATATTCACAGATGTGGAATTGCTGGGCCATAGGATAATTCTAGGTTTAAATTCTGAAGAATCACTATATTGTTTTCCAGATATAAAATGGTTGTACCATTTTATATTTGCAGGGACCATATTTCTCCACTTCCTCACAAACATTGTTGTTTCTTCTGTTTTTGTTGTTGACAGTAGCCATTCCAGGAGGTAGGAAGTAACATCTGAGGTTGAATTTAGAAGTGACGAAAGTGTTCTCACATTGACCGTGGTAGTGGTTGCATGTGTGAATATATTCAAAATTATTAAAATCTTCACTTTGCAAAAGATGATTGGGAAATATGTAAACTACATCTCAATTTTAAAAAAGCCTTTGATGGCTTCCCACTACTCTTAGGAAAAAGTCCAAAATCCTTCAAGAGGCCCTTGGATTCTTGCCCAGCATGCCCTGGCCCTCTGCCCTGGTCCATTCCAGCTGGAGACCGCTCTATGCAGGCTGGGTGCTGCTTTCGCCTGGATGGAATCCCCGGCCCCACCCCAGGCGTTTGCCTAGTTCTCCTAGTTGAGTTTTCTTGTGTCTACCTAGCTGAGATCCTGTTCACATATCACCTCCTCTAGGAAGCTTTTCCTCACTGCTTGGACTTGGTTTTCAGTGACAGTGTTTATGGTTGCCTGCACCTGTACGCTTCCTTGATTATGTGTGGCAGGTACCAGTGTATAGCAGCCCCCGGTCTGTTGTGGATTCTTAGATCCCAGCAAGACTACCATATATGTGTTTGTGGAATGATAACTCAGTAATATAGTATTAAGATTTATAGTATTAATAATCTCCCTTCTTCCTAAAATACATCTAGCCAGCCTAAAATGTAAAAAAAAAAAACAGCAACAGTTAGGATGACTTACAAAGGATATTAATTAAAAGTATGCTCTAAAACCAAAATGAAACAGAAAATAGTAGAGCAAAAAAGAATTTCCAAAAGCGTGCCCAAATAAATACAGTAATTTATTAAATGATACATGTAGTATGTGAAATAAAACCTGAGTCTTCAACAAAGGGCATGGAGGGCGACTAGTTGCTCAGATTAAAAAAAACTAAAATGTTAAATTAATTAAATTAAAAGATAGAAAAAGGCCTTTAATAGATATTTTTCCAAAGAAGATCCACAAATGGCCCATAAATCCATGCAAAGATGCTCAGTTTCATTCATCATCAGGGAACTGTGACTCAAAACACCGTGAGGTACCACTTCAGACCCATTAAGATGGCTCTAATGAAACAAAACAGACAAAACAAATCACATAAAAGCTAACAGAAAATGACAGGTGTTGTTGAAGGTGTAGAGCAAACGGAACACTTTTGCTTCATTGGAAGTAAAACAGCACAGCCACTGTGGAAAAAATGTGGCAGTGTCTCCAAAACAACAATAGAGTTATAAATCTTAACAACCCTACTTCCGGCTATGTAGTCTAGAGAATTGAAAACACCGACTTGGACATGTATCTGTACGTGAATGTCTACAGCAACACTGTTCTGATAGATAAAAGGTGGAAACAGTTCAAATGTCAGTTGGTGGGTGAGCAGGAAGCACAGTGCAGAGCTGGGGTGTGTGCGCGCTTGGGCACATACCATGGAATGTGATTTAACCTGCAAAATGGAGAAAATCCGATATATGGTATAATGTGGATGGAATTTGAGGACATGATGCTAAGTAATGCAGATACTGTGATTCCTTGTTTTGGTTACTCTGGTTTTAAATTTTATTTTAAATAATCATACATTTTTCTTTTAACAAATCGATGTTGTTTAAAAATAAGTAAAGTATGTACTGAACCATTAAGCAGTTCACTTTGTGTTCTACATTTATTTCACCTTATTTAAAGTGCATTAATTAAAAGATAATCAACCACTTACTGCTCAAATACATACAAATAATATCAATATGAAGCCACTAAGCCACTGCCATCTTACTACAATCTAAAAGATTAACTCAACATTATGCTCTACTTAATACTATCTAGCAAAAACTAATAACTAATTTCAATTTTAAACAAACTTATGAACAAAACAAAATGAAATAAAATCATCTCACCACAGCCCCTGGACAGAGAATCAGTTTGCCATGGCTTCCAGGCATCGGTGTGTGGTGAGCGGCGAGGGCTTGTTTAGGCCTCTAATTATACGAGGTGCCTGGTGTAAGAAAATTCATGAAAACTAGAAGTTGGTGGTGGATACTAAGAGCTGGGAAGGGAGAAAGAAGCCATTGAACGGCACAGAATTTCAGTCTGTGATGTTGAAGAAGGGGAATGATTATTATGGTGGCTGCAAAAACAGTTATGAATGAATTTAACGCCACTGAGTTGAACACTTTAAAATGGTTAATATGTAAATTTTACATTTTTTATATCTTTATCACAAAAAAGGAATAAAAATGTTTTAAGTATTGGGTACTTCAGACCTTACATGTCTTAGAGCAAGATGATCTCCAGATTTAAGAGTGCAATGTGAAAAAGCTGTAATAGGAGTTGTGGCTGCCAGTGCAATTGAGTGGACTGTGGGATTGTCTAAGCCTGATTCTAAGAGGCAGCAACACCTTCATCCCCAAAATATTGGTAGATTTGAATTGAAAAATGTTAAGTGTCTGAAAGCCAGAACTATAGTTATGTTAACTTGGATTCCGCAGGCGGGCTGTGGGATGGGGAAGCTTGTGCTGAGGTTTCTTGGGAAGGACTTGGAAGAGTCACGTGCTAGCAACAGCCGGCTGGAGGGGTGGCAGGCATGAGTTCTCCTGGCACTGCCTTTCAGCTGACACCATAGCTAAGCCTGGGGAGCCCTGAGCCGGAGGCCACCCAATTCCGTCCCAGTGGAGGCGGTGGGCCTGGCTCTCTGCTTCCCAGCCCCGGCTGGTTACCAGCCACAAGCTGTGCCCTGGCATGAGAGAGTTCCCTGGGAACAGTGCCAAATTCCAGGAAAGGGCTCTGTTTAGAGCAGTCAGCACCTGGGGATCGGCAGATTATCCCAGCAGAGGGTACTGGGCAAAGTCCCACAGGATCCACTACAGAAGTAAACAAAACTAGAGCAGATACACGCAACTTACATGGCTTAGGTGTTTCCCAGGAACCAGAGTCTAAGTGGAGATCTTCAGGCAGGAGGATACATGGCAGGGGGCTCTGTGGAACAAAGCTGCGGACAAGGGGGCGGTGGCATGAAGTGGGCTAAGGAAGCAGCATTGTGACACTGCACATGGTGCAGGAGGTCTCAGTGGGGACCACTGGGGATTCTACCCTGGGAGAACCACTGTGATGTGTCCTGAATCAGTGCAGGGTGCCGGGCCCGTACACTCCCAGGCTAATCCTTACTGTGTCTAGACTATGCCTAGGGAGGAAGGCAGACTTGGGTAAGGCGGCTCACCTGGCTGAGGGCAGTTCCTGATGAGGCCTGCTTGGGAGACAACAGGTACATGACTTCTAAAGTGGGGACCTGGACAGTGCATTGCAATGCCCATCCCAGAGTGTGTCCACTTCCTTTGCATAACAAGTTCACTGGGAAACTTTAAGAGGAAGTTAGCAGGACAAACTATTGTCCCTATCTGTACAGCTGGTCATGGGAGGCATCTGTGCTCGTGTTCTCTCCTCTGTCTTCTGTTCTTCAGGCCTCAGCATCTGGGCTGACCAAGGTGCCTTACTGGATGGACTGAAGGCTCTGAGCTCTGGTCTCCAAAACCCTATGTTCTTTTCAGGCCATGACTGCTGCCCTGTACTCAGTGGGCACCAAACACCCTCTCTTCCAGGGCCCCTCTCCCAAAGAGTCTCCTCTCCTAGCCTGTTGGGATCATGGCACAGAGTATGAAGTGATCAGGTAGTCATTAAATTTTAATGGGACTCTTACCAGTACCCCACATTGAAAGTACTCTCCCTTGGAATTAGGACCCTAACTCGTGATTAGCCATGAATAATTCTTTAAATTTCAGTGAACTAGATATTCCATTCTTCAGTTCCACTAGCCACATTTTACATGCTCAAATGTGGCTCCATATTGGACAGTGTAGGAACAGGAGAGTTCTGTGCGTTCTTCTGGGGCAAATCTGCTCTGGACCCTGCACCTGAAATTTCCAGGATCAGAAACATTTTTTCCAGGTAGATCACTGTGAGGAGCCAGGTGGGGCCATTGCTGCCTCTGGCAGAGGTCTCAGGCCCACATGGCCCACCTGTGGGGACACAGCAGTATACAATCATAGTCCACTTGGTTTTCCTTTTGGCTTGTTAGGTTGCATCCTGGATTGTATCCCCGTTCTGTGGGAATCATCTCCAAACTGGCCCCTGAGTCTTTAGAAGGACATTTACCACCAGGTCAGGGAGAGGGTTTCTGGGTGATTTGGTCTATGACAGGACCAGTGGATCCCACAGTCATGTGTCCATTGCTACACTTCTTTGCTGGAATGTAGATGTGAGGAGGTTTTGAGGGTCAGACACTCTGTAAGCCCTTGGATATTGGCCTACCGAGGGCCCCAGGGACAATATAAGTAAGCCCATGCTAGGTCTAGCATCCATTACAGTCAAGTCCATTGCTCCACTTTCTGAGGCTGAGGTGTCTGATGGAATCCACTGTCTCCAGGAGCTGAGTTGGATGCCTTAAAGGCTGGCCATATGGGGGCTCAGGTTTGGTCTTTGCTGCCGGCAGGTTGGATGCCCAGCAATGTGAGAAGTTCGAGCAGCCCTGGTGAGTGGGAGGTGACACTCCATCTCCACCAGGGCTCCGGAGCACATGAAGTGCTGCTTCCGAATGGCGCGTAGTTCTCTGCTGCAGATGGCGTGGCCTCGCTCCAGAACCCTAGGGTCTGTGTTGTGATTCTCCTATTCAGGCTTGACACAAACTCCACATGGTGTTTTTCTCCCACCAGGTCCCTCTAGTACAGTGGGGTCTACTGGGTCATACGGCTGACTCGTTGGGGCTGTTTGGGCCCCAGCCTGGACCTGCTGCAGAGAGCTTTTCTGCCCTGGGATCTACTCACAGCTGGCAGCATTCTGTGCCAGTCAGCAAATGGGTCAGAGCAGTATTCTTAAGTGTGAAATCTGTTGCTTTTGGAACCTGAGGAGGCCTTCTTAGTGTGGCGAAGTGCGAGATGCAGAATTAGTTCTTTCCTTTGCAGAGAGACTCTTTCAGCCTGTTTCAGACCACTGAATTCCAAAATACTTCACTCACATAGTAGGAGGCCCTCAAATCTTTGGGGCTTTGTGCAGTTCCTTCTAGAGTACATGACAAGTGTCATATCTTGCCCTTTCTTGCTCAACTGGCCCAACTAACATGATGTCATTGAGATAAAAGACCACTATAGTATTCTGTACAATGCCTAGATAGTCCAGGTCCCTTCAGACTCTAACAAAGAGTGAAGGAATTGACACAGCCCTGGACAAAGACATAAATGTATGCTGACATTAGTTCCATTTCAATGCAGACAGCTTCTTCCTCATGGGATGGAAAAGAATGAATTTGCCAGATTGATGGCCCCATACCATGGACCTGAGGCTTTATTAACCCAGTCTAGCAAATATACTGCTCTGGCATTAGGAATATAATAAGATACAGCTTTATTGAGTTTGCATTAGTTCACTGTCACCCCCAGATCCATCTGATTTTTAAGGGGCCAGACTCTTTAAGGGGAATATAATGTAGATCACTAAACTTTTATTCTTTATACCTTTTTCTTCGCACCCCTAGCAGGGTGCCATGTTGTTGTTGACTTAGGATCTTGCCTAGGGAGGTGGGAGAAGCAGTTCTAGAAGCTTCCACTTGGCTTTTTCACCATGACAGCCTTTACTCCACAGGCCAACGAATCAGTGTGGGGGCCTGCCAACTCTCAGGCATGGCCTTGCCAATCATGCGTTTGAGATCTGGTGACAGGTGACTGTGGACCTTGAAGACTCGTTATGACTTGGACCCGGGGCAGAGGGCCTTTGTCTAGCTACTTGTGTTTACACCATTTTAAATGGGGGGAGATCATGGTACTGGTTGGTTTTCCAGTATCAATACCAACTCAGCCTTGTACTTAACAATACAATAAGTGTCTGGTGTTTTTCTCCCTAAGTTTATGATTACCTGTATAAATTACGTAGGTCCCTGGGGGAAAGACCAAGGGAATGGTTATATGTAGTTGGTGTGGCATCACAGGGTCCTTCCTTGGGGGACATAGCCTTTCTTTCAGGTCTACAAAACATCTCCGGCCCATAAATTTCAAAGGATCATGATGTTTTTTAATGGGCAGCTGCCTTCAGCCTCCTGATCATCCTCTCTTTTCTTTTTTCATTCCTTTCTTTCTTTTTATAGACAAAGTCTTGCTATGCTGTCCACATTGGCCTTGAACTTCTGAGCTCAAGTGATCCTCCTGGCTCAGGCTTCCAAGTATCTAAGTACCTGGTACATACCACCAACCCAGCTCCCTGCTGTCAGTTTTCTTGTTTTGGCTGTGTAAATTAAGCAATATTGTTTCATCTCTTCTTCCCTGAGGATCACTGCATTTTCCTGAGCCTAAATCTAGGCCTCTGTGGACCTGGCCCACCAACTGCGGTCTGACCTCTTATTATTTAAGCTTCCATCATTCCCACTGCTGCCAGGAAGGTTAGTTCTGTGACAGTGTTTTTTCCTATCAGTGTGGCCCCCAGAAGAGGGCCAGCGCTGGCTTCACACGCTGCTGATGCCCCTCATCCACACGCCTCCCCGGCCCCACCTGGAGAGGTGTCCTGACTGGGTAATGTATTCTCTTTACTGTGCCCACTTCCCTGACCTGTGTGATCCCACTTCCACACCTTTTTATGGGGTGCTTATGGGGTAAAGAGGCTCCTCCCTTTCATTGCCTTGTGTTCCATCTCAGAACCCAAGTCCAGGTACCACCTCTTGGCTGTTCGGTACATGCTGGCCAGGCTCTGCAGCTTGGTGTGGGTCACGTGTTGGCCCTCTGCAGGCTCTTTCTGGGCTCCTCTGGGCTGTGGTGTGATTTGACTCTGCCCTTGGGCTGGCAGTCAGGACAGATGATTAGGGGACAAATCTTGGGGTGGGCATGGCATTTGCATCTTCTTTAAGCTAGGAGACATCGGAAGCCTGTATGAGGGAGGAGGAGGTCACTGCTGCCTGCCCAGCAGATGAAGGAGAGTCTGAGGACTCGTGGTTTTCAAGAGCATCAACCCAATGTCTCCGTTCCAAGTCTTAAGGGCTTTCTCCCCAATCAGAGCCCTGATTTCAGCACCACAGATATTTTCAGACCTTTCCTGAAGCTTTGCTTCCCTCTTAAACTACTCCTGGGTCTGATCCTCAACGATTTCTGCTCTTTAGATGTGTGAAATGTGAGTCTCTTTACCTGCTATGAAGGAGAATCTCTGGCAGTCACACTCCTCTCAAATTGGGGAGTAATCATACGCACGGCCTCTCCCAGCCCTTTGATTGTACCCAGACACGACCATCTGATTCTCAGAACCTCTCCAATTCCTGCATTACTGCTGCCCTTCCCACATTCCAGTCCAGGTGGTCTTGGTGACAGTCTTCACACTCTCTGCCTTAGAATGCTCCACTGTGAGAATTCTCAGTGCAGGCTCCAAAGCCTACTGGAAACCTATTAGATTCATGGCAGAGACTATATAGTTTGAAAATAATAAAATATTTACTGGTACAGGCCTTTATGGGAAAGTTTGCTGATCTTAAATTAGTTGTAGTAAATAAAACAATGTTAAAATATAACACAAAAATAAAAATTTCCATAGTATGTGCTTTAAAGTAAGTAGATGAATTGAAAGATTAATGATTCAAAAAAGAGAATCATAAAATGAAGAGCAGAATGAAGTACAGAGAAATGTATGCAGAAGACCTTAAAGTGAGAAATTTTGGCCCTGAGCTTCCTAGTAGCCAAAGTAAGACCATATACCATACCCATATCATCATCCCTAATACTTAAAGTACTCCAACTTTTCACAAGAAATAGAGTAGTTTTTCTTGGCTGAGGCAATACCATTGCTACAGCTTTCTAAAGTGAATTTTTCATGTGATCAGGCTTGGAGTATTTTGCCAGAGGGAGAATAAATTGGCTTTGAATACGTGAAAGAGCAGTTCTCTTAAGGAAAGCCTTACGATTCAGGGCATGGCATCTCATGCTGTCCTCATCTGCCTCCTTTGCTTCTTATTGGCTCGGGCAGTTGTCTC